TAAGTTCCATAAATATATGGAACTTAGGCCAGTGGCTTTGAGCTAGCTATGAAAAATTCTTCTATAGACGTTCAGATTTAGGTATTACTGTTTGCATCTTGTTCACAGACACTACTTTTATTTGATTTTAAATTAAAAAAAACCATGACGAGCAGTGCTACACATGATTTTGGTTGAAGGTTAAGTAAGGTGTGTTTGACTAGGTGATCACTTGAGGTTTTGTCAGCCTTGCTTACTGTGATTTGTAAGAGGTTTGTTGTGCAAGACCAAGTGTTTGACTGTTTAAAAGTAACATTTTTGGAGTAAAACAATTTTGTCTGGTTCATTCTTCTTGCTATGAAATAAATTTTTATAGTCTCATTTTATATTCTGATTATCCATTCTACAGTCTGAAAAATTACCTGTAAACGCTCACTCTTCATGTTTACCTGGCTCTTTGCATCGTCTTTTTTTTTTTTTATAGACAAGTATATATCTGAATAGCAAAGCTAGCAAATTTTGTTTTCTTGTCATTTTAGTTTAACTTGCTTATGCGTAACGTAGCATAATCTCCAATTTAATCTTACCTGTCATTGGAATAATTATAGGACATCTTCCTTCTTTTGAGTTCAGACTGTGTCATTCTGCTTTGGTGCAATAATGGGGAACTATGTATCCTCAGACTGATTTGTTTTAGTGAAAATTTGTAGGGAACTGATATAATTGAGATTCCTACCCAACTATTGGAGCAGGTTTGCACTCCAGAGGTGTAAGGCACCTTTCTATGTAGGTAAAGTGTTACAGTGCAAGTCTGAATTCCTTACAAAATCAGGCTAAGAATAGATTGCTTGCCTCACTGTATTTTTTCCTATATTTTTAACATATGAGGCAGCATGAAAGCTGGCTTATGTTCTTAAGTGCTTATATACTGCCTTTACTGTTCTCATGATTAGTTCATGGCTCTCATTGTAGCCATAACTAATTTTACTCTTTAAAAATTGTACTTCTATTATGAAGTTGGATGCTGTAGAACTGGTTTTGTTTCTGCACACTGTATATCTCCATATTCCACAGAACTAAAACACCCTTTCTAGCTCACTTAATATTTACCTCATATAGCATCTGCTTGCTTTCTTCCTCTATTGTGTGAAGGTAAAGCTTTTTTCAGCCTACAAGTTTTTGAATGTGACCAAATCGGTCATGAGAGACGATGTAATATGTATGCCGGTGTTTGTGTACTTTTATCTCTCAGTAACCAAGAGGCAGCTTAACTCTGTTGTGTTTATTATAGGAGAAGTGTATGTATATGGACAATTAGCATGGTGTATTGGAACATGACTTATTTGAGCATGACTTATTTGCCCTCAGGCTTTGTTTCATTTGTCATGGCAAAGCTAAAAACAATTTCCAAGAATCACCTGGATGTTTTCTTCCTTCTGTGGCTTTCTCAGATTCTGAAAGACTTCCAGGCTCTGCGGAAGGTGGCCGATGGGAAGTGAATCATGAATATGAATCAGCATCTCTCCAGCCTTATATCCAAAAAGCTGTTGCTAGGATATTCTTCTTTGTTTGCTACTCTTATCACATCATCACCTTTTTGAAATTCACTCTCTGTCTTCCCTTCTTTAATTACATTCAAATTCAAGCTGCTTGTGTTTCTCTGCAAGACCTTGACATAATCTTATTCTACCTTTGCATCTGCTCTTGTATTTTGCTGCCTTTGCTTCTCCTGGTCTTTCTCTGAATTCCAGTTTTCTCTGTTTTGCTTCTGTTTTGTACTGGATTGTCATCTACTCTGTGTGTGTGTTTTGCTAATTCTACATTGTAACCATGGATTAGGGTATACTTTTTTCCTCTTTGTACTGAATCTATATTTTTTTGTTTTAAAAATGTTGAATTTTGTCAGCTTGTTTTTACTGTCTTACCACCACCACCCTGTTGGAATAGTCCATTGCAAAAATGAGCAGTTAAAAACAGAAGCGTTTTCTTAATTCACAAAGGTCAAGTCTTCACAAAGTTTGTTCTGGGTCACTTGTTTAATTGAAATTTTAATGTTGTTGGCTTATTTTTGAAGTGACACTAAATGCTAACAAAAAGATTGTTAAGTTGTTTAGTTGGTGATTAATTATACTTTATATCTGAACAGAAAGAATTTTGGTTAAAAGGCATGATAAAGTGCGAAGTCCCTAAGCTATTCAGAGAAATTTAATTTTTCTAGATTTCTTGGGGTTTTTTTTCTTCTAGGGATTAAGAAGGAAGTGAAACGGAAAAGAAATGGGTGCTCACTCATCAGCTTATTTTCTTCTTGTAAGAGATGCCACAGATTAATAGTAAAGAGTGAATTCTTGTAGCTGAACGAACTTGCAGAAGATGTTTCCTAAGATGTTTCTTCTTCTTCAGCTTGCCTGCCTTATGTGAGCCCTGTAGCTCAAATACCTTGAACTTCCAAGTTTGGTTATTTCAGCTAGGTTGAGGAAGAACATCAGGGGTCTTTTTGTTTGGAGATACAACTTGTTCTTGTTTTCTTAAAGCGTGGCAGAAGATTTAAAATGTCTCACAGAACTTTTGTATTTCTTTGAAATGCTTACAAGGAAGTATTACAAAAGTCCTTCATCCAAAGTCATGAAACACATTTTTATGTTTAATGTATTAAGACAGTAAATTAGATCAGGCATTTTATGAAAATGACAGTAGCTCTTGTTTTAAGACAGTTGGATCAAATACAGAATTAAAAAAATGTTTTATAAGCACTTATAGTGAATAATTCCTTGGAAGATCACCGAAGGCTACTGCTGATACAAAAAGCATAGTGTAGGAAATAATTGAATATATGTCCTGTTTTGCTTTTTTGACTCTTAGGGATGCAAAAGATGCAAAGAATCAGATGAAAGTTAGCTGTGGTATTTAAAGCTATAAAGGTAATCCCAGTTCATTAAGTAAACCAGATCTCCTGGCATCTTGTGTGAGAGCAAGGCCCAAAGATTCTGTCCTTATTTTGAGTAATCTTGACTACTAGCGTTTGGCAAATAAATGAAAACTCAGCCCTTGTTTTCCTCTCTGAAGATTAGTACAAATCCCTTTCTTTTCTGTCTTCACGGTTTTCCTTTTATGTTACAGAGCAACAGAAGCTTTTCCTTTTTTAATTTTTTTGAAACAGATTTTTCTGTCTCCTGCTGTGGTGGCATCAAGAGGCTGGAGATCATGTTAGTAGTAAAAGTTGGGGCAGTGTCTTGAGACTGCGGGCAGCCCAGGCCGGATATACTTCTCACACTCTTGCAGGCTTTAATACTTCTCAAAGCATTAGATGGGAGTTTCTTTCCTACAACACTTGGAAGCTGTTTCAGGTACTGTTTTGAGGCTGTCCACAGACCTGAGAGTATGTAACTCTGAATACACTTCAATCTTATTTTCAGCATTATTTTAGTTCTAACATGCTCTCTTGTGTGCTGTCTCAACTGAACTGATTTCTGATTGCAGAGTGGAACCTCTGGATCTTTTTTAAAAGCTTGATCTCTTCTTGGTTATTATAGAGCTTAAAATAGACAATAGTAGATGAATCATCTGACATGTGGGTAAAAGGCAGTATACAGCAGAGACCTTTATACAGCTCTCAAGTCCAAATTTCTTTCTGAAAAATATGCCAGAAGTACTTGAAGCTTTCTCGTTCTACTGGTGAAATGAATGCAGCTTAAAAAGGCTGTTTTCTCGAAGTGAGTATGTAAGAGTTTCTGGCATTTTGTCTCTTAGATGCTTAACTGAAAATGCTCAGAAATCCTTTGAAAAATTGTAATTAATTTGTCATTAGCTAGAAAATTGGCAGCATATACAAGCAAGGAAGCCTGACTGGCTGGTGCTGAAAGAACTGGCCCACCGCCTCTCTGTTCTCAGCCATGTGCTCCCACAGGTGGCCCTGTGCTGGCATCATTTGACACTGGTAAGGAGCTAATCCATGAGAAAACAAATTCTGTTTGAAAAAGAAAAAAAAGAGTCATATTCTGTTGTTGTAGCTCCTTGAACAAACTTGCAGTGACATCAGCTGTTTTATCGGAGTAGGATAGATCTTTCTGCTCTGAGTCAGAAGGATGAATGGTTGACTGCAGCCAGGAAAAGGGAGGAGGGAATAGGCTCTCCCTACTTCGTCACAGTGACTGCCTAAGAAATTAGAGAGTTTTCTTCTGTGATTTTGCATTAAAAATTCTGAATTCTTCCTGTGGTAGCTTGTATTACAACAAATCTCCTTGTCTACTTTTGCTGTTAAACTCCATAATAGCATCTCCTGGAAAGATTATTTTAATTAGTCTGTAATTATTGGGTTTTTTTTTTCATTTGGCTGATGTTCAAGATATTGTGACAGGCAGGGTTTGTTCATAAATGTGCCCCCTATGTTTCAGCTTTTCTGGATACCTTCTATATTAAAAGTTAATACCTGCTGTCTTCCAGAGGTATTTACTTTCAGGGGTATTGGGACATATGTGCAATGTTTTTGAATTATGATGAAAAAAAACTTACCAATTGAAACTTTCTAGTTTATATAATCAGTAGGTATTGATACCTCTTGATTTGTGCTGTGAGTTTCATATATATTTATATATTGCTGAACTATATATATGTAGTTCTGAACACAGAACTTTGAACACCAGATACAGGAACCTCTGGAAAAAGAATTGGTTCTTAATAGTCTGGAGTAGTGACTATCCCATGTAGCAGAGTGTTATGGCTAATTAAGCTACTAATCATTTGGGGGTGTAGAGACTAAAATCAGCTTAAATCTAGAAGAATATTTGGTTCGGGCTTTGTGTCTGCTGAAAGTCTATATATGTTGCTCAGAGACCAGTGAGGCTTTGGGGACAATATCAATTTTCTCCACATCATATCTACAGATGCAATCTTATTTGTGGTTTATATGCATATTTGATATGTGGAATATTAAGAAAAACTGCCCATAAACAATGAAGAGTTGACTGTTTCACATGGCTTTGATGACTTCAATAATTAATTGTGTATTTTTGGTTTTGCATTTTAGAAAATAAAATAATGCTAATGAAGCAACCATTTCCCTGAAGTTCAAATTTTCAGACTCACTGCCATTATGGGTAAGTCTTGCGTGTAACATATAAAAATTTTATTTGGATACTTTTAATTTCTACTGAAGACCAAAAACATTAATGTAATATCATTCCTAGGAAATGTGTGCTTTGGCTGTGTAAGTCAATGTAACATCTACATGAAAGGCAGTGTTCAGCTGCTTTGCTAGTATTCAAAATACTTCTGTTCTTTTTTCCATTGGAATATAGCACTTTTTCCTCACTATATGGTAACTTAGAAATCCAAGTATAGAACATTTAGAATCATGGTATTAGGGTACTGAGCAATATTTACTGTGCTCTAAATGGTAATGACCATTGGGGGAAAAAAACCCCACAACCCACAAAGTCTGTATCAAAGAATTTTATCATATTGTCTTGTGTCATTGCATTGTAAAACCAGGACTGTGCAGATGATCTAACTAAATATGTAGCGCGTTTGAATTACCTAAAATTTGATGTAGATTTCTCAAGTTGTACATGCTTTTTAATGAGTTGATCATGTCATTATTGTAATCACTTATCAGTGCTCATTTTCAAAAAAATCCCAACAAAACGACCAACCAAAACACACACATTTTTGTATTGCTTTTGTTGATCTTTTATTGTTATGCTAATTTTTCCCTAACCTCATGCTTAATAATAAAGTAGCTGAATCTAGGAATACAGTGCTCTTTAGATTTCTGATACTGTCCAATATTTTGTATGAGAGAAATGACTATTGAGTCATACTGGATGATAGTGTTGGTGGTGTGTGTTCCTCTGGGAGTTCGTGTGTGCTTCCTGTGTGCGTGACCATACCTGTTCAGGACAGGAAAAATGATTCAAAAGTACTTGCTTTTCTTTTTCTTCATTTTATGAATTAGGAGTGAGGGGGAAGTATGATTTCTAGTTAATATCTCATCCATGGACATTGTTTGAAACAAAGTAGATAAACTGGTTTTTTTCCCCTCGCCCTTCTCTTACTAATACAGCCTGCAGTTCTGTGGAGTTCTCAATCTCTGTTAGGACTTCAGTTTTTTCAACTTGCCATTTAAGTGTATTTACCGATTAAGCTGTTTATTTCCTTAAGCACTGTAGATGATACATAAAAATGTTTTCACCGTGGCAGTCTTTTTTAATTTGGCAATTATGTATTCAAGTGTAATATGGACTTTTAGATTTTAGAATAATGCCTGCCTAATTGTGAAATAAGACAGTAATGCATGTCAAATGTAACAGTTTTTTACACTTCTCTTATCTGGTCTTTTTCTCTGAGCAGATGAGCAGCAAGCTTTGAATTCAATCATGCAGGATTTGGCTGTGCTTCATAAGGCCAGTCGTCCTGTACTGCCTCACCAAGAAACAGGAAAACCAAAGTCATCTTCGCCTAAAAAACAGGTAATCTTTAACATCCTTACTAACCTACTGAACATGGAATGTCCTGCTGTGACTTCTATAATTATTTTTCTTACCAGACCAGTGAGTGTACCAGAATGAGCTATTAGTCTCCCACATGTGTTGCCATTTTCTTTGTTCATGTTCTTAAATTAGCAGCAAAATGAAATGGTGGCATTTCAAACCAGATCATAGCGTATGCTTAAATGACTCTAATCCTGATAAATTGAAGATTATAGGGATACTTTGACACTGTATGTAGATTGATTTTTATTATTTTTATTATTATTATTTGCTTGACACTAGACTATTTTAAGATATCAAGGTGTGCTAGTATCTCTTATTTGGAATGCTTCTTTAGAATGAATTTTATAGGTATATTAGATTGCCCAGTTGTAAGCTATATCATACTAAAGAATGTCAGTACAGCAGCAAAAACATACTTACGCTCCTTTACTGCATCTTTGGCCTTGATTTTTTTTTTATTTGTTCATATGCTGAAAATGTGAGTTCTTTTCAGCTGTATTTTTTTTCTGCAGATACTGAACACAGATGGAAAGTAGTAAATACTTAGTTAATAGGTTTGAACTACTATATGGAGAGATTAGGAGAGGAGAGGATGTAGCTTTTTATCTGAATTGTTGTAATAGCCCTATTGAGTTAACTGTATGTTTAGATTGAATCCTTAATTGACAGTCCAATATTTCATGAAACTTCAGTTTGTGCAGTCTTGTTTTAACCTGTTAAAGGTCAAAGTATTTGGGTATATTTGGCTCTTAAACTGTCAAACAACAACGGCTACATCTTTTTCATTCTGTGTTTTAAAAGCTGTAAGAGTTCAGTATATAACACAATGGTGCTTTGCTAGTGTCACATAACTCATTTCTGAGCTCTGACTTTTTAGATGTTGTAGTAATGTGCATATATGATCCAAAATGACTTGAGTATAATACATGTTTAGTAAGCTAGAAGAAAAATAGTTGAGCCATTTCTCAGTTTAAATGTGGTAGTAGAAAGGGGAAAATACATGTTTCTCATTCTGTTTTAAATTTGTGAATTTTGAAAGTAATCACTTGTGAATCAAGTAATTCTTTGGGAAGATACAATGTTGTTGTTTGGTTATAATCTCTGTGCTTGAAATTTTTTTTTTCCTGCAATAGTTGCTATTACAATTTTTTCTTAAAATTATGATTTTGCAAAACAATTTTATTTCCGTGTAACTGCAGATATTTACAGGTATATTTGCTAGTGGGAAATTGATTGCATGAATACTGGCATAATTACATGTGTGGGTTTCTATGGTAATGCTTATGAAACAAGATATGTTTCTTAAGCCTGGGGCGCTCAGCTCCAAAGCGTATTTAAAAACCTGTTATGGTAACTAAATCTACTCATGTGTTCATGATAGAGAATTCTTTGTTAATCAGTTCTAAGCTGAATTTGAAATCATGAATCTGTTATAATATCAAAATATATTGATAGAAAATAATGTGTTTACTTATAGAAGCATTCACTGTACTTCAGAATAATTTTTTGTATTTTTTACACACTTTAAGTCTCTATCAGGTACTTCAGCAGAAGTAGCCTGTTAAAATGCTTGGTATATTAGAAAGGACAGAAAATTAATATGGACTACTTAAGGATTTTACTTCTGGTGTAGGATTATTGAATGAGATTTCATGGCCTTCGTTAAAGGAGGCAGTAACAAACTGATAGTGGTTCCTTTATCTCTTCTTACAGAACGATGTTAGAGTCAAATTTGAACATCGAGGTGAAAAAAGGTAAGGTGGGAACATAGGAAACAGCATTATCTTTTAATTATTTATAGAATTTTGTTGGACTCCTGTCATAAAGTTTCAAATAAATTGTTCAAAGGGTTTCAGATATCTGAGTGTATTTGATTTGAGTTTAAATTTAATTTTGATATGAACACAATTTAAGGAGAATTAAACTGTTGAAAGTGTGGGCTCTAAGTATACATAAATGCAGAATTATCTTAACATAGCTATGTCCCATGTAATATCCTTCATTTGTTTACCCTTCAGATAGATGTTTGTAGCCTAGAACAATTACTTAGATCATTAGCATAGATCTCAAATATAAGTAGACCAGCAAATAATTTTTGTGCTTCTAACACCTAGAAGCAGCAGCCTAGATCTTAAAAGTCAATATTGGATTGTACTTTGGAGGAACCAATCTGAGAACTGTAATAGGAAAATTTATTAGACTTTATAATTAGATTGTTTTCAGTGATAATGTTGAATAATCAGTTAAAATTTATTTTCATTTTGTGTATGAGAGGTGACGATGTACATGCTTAAAGTATACAAACATCTGTCTCTATATATATATCTGTGCTCTGATGGCTGCTCAGAAACTTTTACAGAAGTTTATCTACAATTCTGTGCAGAACTGGTTTGTGGACAACTCATTTTGTCTGTCTCTTTCTGAAAGCATAAAACTTCACTGTACCTACAGAGGAATGGTTATAGAATAAGAGCTTTGAAAATACTTAATGAAAAAGGAAATAATATCCTGGTCACACTATTTGTCCGTAGAAATGGGAAATTCCTTATGTAAAAATTGCTTCAGAATGAAACCTGTGCTACTTCTGGGCAGTCCTTAGTGTGATGTGCAATAGATCAGTGTGTATCCATGCTGATTACAGTATGTGCCCTCTCTTTACATGGGATAGTAAAATAGCAGTAAGTTCCCTAGGTATTAACATTCTTCAGCTTCTTTCTATCACTTTTCTGAACAATCACATGTAACAGTGCATCAGTAATGGTTGAGTGCTGTAAGTAATTTGGAGAAAATAAGTCTTTTCAAAAGCTTTGAAAATTGAGGACTCTTCTACCTAGCAATTTCTTGTGAAATAAATTGAAACATGAATTTAAAACAGAACTGTTTACTCACTGCCAGTATGCACGAACAGTGCATTTTTGCAGTTTATCTTAATTCACTTTCACAGTGGACTGTTAATCAGTTCAATATGAATACAGGCATAAATTGTGTGGAAAGATACCTTTCCCAAGCTTTTACGCTGATGGGCCTAGCTTTGTTTTGGACTGTCCCAAGTGACTGGAGCCTGCTTGCCCTGGGGTACTGGGCAGCCCAGGCTCATTGCTCAGCATAAGTTATAATACTTTTGTTGCCTGAGCATGTAGATCTAAAGATAAAATAATGAAATTTTGCAAGAAAAATAAGTTATGCAATGGCTTTCTCACTAGTTTTTAAAAAGGGAAGTGGAAAGGAGAAGTGATTCCAGAGTTTGTTTCAGTAGTGAATGTGGCACTGCGTACCAAGGAGTGTGCAGTGTGATGGGCAGAGTCCAGGCTTGCTAAACAAATTGTTAACTACAGTGAGAATTGGTGTTGGTTTGTTTTTTTCCAAGATTTTATTTTTTTCAGAATAATTTTTAATAGAAAGTAGCCTGGCTTCTATCTCATTTCAGTGAGAAATATTGTTCCCTCAGCAGTATACCAACTGAAACACTTATAAAAGGGACAGTTACTGTTTGCTAATTTTTCCACTTCACAAAACTTGAGTGCTGTTTCTTTTGTGAATTGAATGTACCTCACTAGCTTAGTCACTTCTGAAAACTTTTTTTTGTGTGTGTGTTTAATGGTGTTGTGTCTCAAATAATACAATAGTTTTCTATAGTAAAAGGTCAGTTACAGGCGTTTTGGGCTATTTGGTTTGATGAGATATTGAGTTAAAAGGAAATTTGAGTTGTTAACCTCCAACTGCAGCATTCTTACAGGAGCATACTTGAAGCACAGTTAGTGATGGACTCAGCAGTTTGAGTGCGTAATACACTATGGTAAAGATGGTGATATTTAGTTACCTTCCTCAGATAAGATTGTCTTTTGGATTTCTAAAAAATGGGGACTGTAGGATTAATTCCTTTCTGATGCTTATGCTTGTCAGCCATTGGTACTCCATTGTCCTAGTTTTCTGAAGCAGAAAATTTTAGAAGCTTCTAAGAATTTGTCTGTGGAATGGAGGCATGCAAAGCATTAAGTTAAGAAAGAAGCCATATGCAAGCAAGTAAAATAGTCATGAGATCTAATTTTATGCATGATTATCCCTTAACTTTTTCACTGCTTTTCTCGCTTTTTTTGGACTCAAAATATGGAGGACAGTGAATAAAGCATAGCCTCTTATGGTCTTTTTAGTAATAAATTCAATTCTAAGACTGGTCTTGAGTAATGAGTTGCCAGATTTTCATAAGTAATGGACAAAAATTCTTTATAACTTAAATTGTGTTTCAGGATACTGCAATTACCAAGGCCTGTTAAACTTGAAGATCTTGCAGCTAAAGCTAAAGTTGCTTTTGGACAGACTATGGATTTACATTACAGCAATAATGAGGTAATATACTGTGTCTTCTAAGTTCTAAGTGACTTGTACATTAGTTAGCTTAAGGCTGAAATTTGCTATTGTAAGCAGTGAGAACCACTCCTGTGATAAAACTTACTCCCGTGACAGAACCCTACATTTCTAATGTCTGTGTTCTCAAATATGTAATGCTTATTAGGATGGGCAGCAGATGCATGAATTGGTTTATGAGGAGAGTCATATCGTAATGAATTGTCTCAGACTTAGGAATGGGTAAATTGTCTTCCTGCTTTGCCACAGTTCTGTTGCGTGACTTTGGGAAAGTCTTTACCTCTTTGAGCTTTGTCCTGTTTGTAAATCTGAAGTAACATTTATCCTTTCTTTTTTTTTCTTTAAGAGTTAATCTTCTTAGGTAATAGCTAGAATGCTGCATTTAGTAATGTTTAGATTGGAGAACTAGACTTAACTGTTGCTCCTCTTAAAGTGGCTGGTTCACAGAGTTTTTTGGGAACAGCACTAGTATCGTAAGCCACTTATGCCTGATCACTATTACTTCCAGCTTTCCTTTAGAAGTAGAGGTGGAATTATTAATAGGAAATACATTTACAGATGCAGGATCCGTTCTTAGGAGTTACTTCTGTTTTTTGCCTTGAGTTAGCAAAGTGCATGGAGGATTATTCATGTGGTTATGCACAACATGATTGCTGTATCTAATCTGCATTTTTGCAGAAGAAAATACCTGTAATTGCTGTTTGTGATTCCTCACTACTTTGCCAGGCACTTCTATGAAACTTATCCTCAAAACCAAGAATTCCAACAGAAGGCTTTTGGAGATTAGGAAGGTCAGAAGAAATGGCCATTCATGATGCTTTAGCCTCAGCTCCTACCTTTGATAGATTTGTAGGCAATTGAGCAGGTTTTCTGCTTGTCAACTTTGGCACTGGTTGGCAAATCTTCCCATCACCTTTCAGAAATGTGATGGTAATAATCTGTCATTAGCATTAAAACTGCAACTTAAAATGAAGAGTATGCTCATTTGTTATCAAGACCTTCCTCCCTCATTCCCATTTCTTTTTGTATAAAAATACTGTATTTCAACTGATGTTATATTTGAGCATCGCTGACTGAGACTGTTTACAAGTAGAATAGATTTTTAAAAAATCTATATTGCAATGTTCCTTTGTTACAGGCCGAAGTTGTAATTTACAGTCCTGAAAGCCCAATTTTATTTGTTACAGAACTTAGATTTCAAGTGCACTTTAATGGCATAACATTTTCTGTTCTAAAGATAATATGTATGCCAAGCTAATTCTAATTAATTAAATCCAAGTAAGATTCTAGTGAGGACTACAGTTGTTCCATGTGGATCATTTCTGATACACTTCCTTAACAAATTCTGCTTTTCAATGGAGAAATTCTGTTAGTTATACAACTTCAAATAAATATAGTTGTAATATAGCGAGATACAAAAATGTGCTTTATGTTTTATAAAATAGGGTTTATTTTTATTTGTCTTACAGACTTGCATTAATTTAGGCAGTGGTAAATACATTGACACTGTTGCACATGTTTCTCTGAAACTTGTAGGATGTTAAGTTTTACATATGTAAAATGGTTGCTCCTTCATTGTGAAGACTTGTTCCACCGTGCTGTACCTATTGAAGGCATCCGAAGAAAGAGTTGAGGTTGAACTTCAGACATTTTGGTGCTAACTTGAGGCATCGTTTAATAAATTTTATTTTCGAGTTGTTTGGAATGAAAGAAAAGATAGCATCAGTTTGTTTCTCTGCACTTGACTTCCTCATTTTTCTTGTGTCCTGTTTAAGACATCTTTTTTTATCCCCCTCACCCTTTTTTTTTTTGTAGCTTGTAATTCCATTAACCACACAGGATGACCTAGATAAAGCTGTTGAACTGCTTGACCGTAGTGTTCATATGAAGAGTCTCAAGATACTGCTTGTAATACATGGAAATACACAGGTATGAGTTGACATGCTAAATGTCTTTTTCCTCATTTTTGATATTGAAGTATAATTTGTATCTCTTCTTAAAGATGACATTTTTCCAATTGAAAAATATTACTGATTGCATGTTCAGTTCACTTTAAGCATTTATTAGCATTTTGTATTGACTTGGTTTTAACTTTTTCCTAGATCCTGTTCCTCACTCTTTGTTTGCCTTCCCTACAGTGGTAGAAAAGTGTTCCTTAACAGGATGATGATGTGATACAAATTTGAGAAGCACACAGAATTTGAGTAACACTAGTTATTTGAAACTGTTCTTTAAGTCATATGTTGTTGACACTCCTTTGTGGCAAGTTAAATGTTTGTTGTAGAGAACAGTAGCAGTGGACTATAGGCTAAACACTGAGTTATTTTGGTGTTATCTAACACATAGTGGCCATGATATTGATAGGATTTGTATGCTAGTACATATCAAAAATTATTTTTAGATATTAAGAATGCACTACTAAAATAGATGAACTTTGATAGAAATTAGCAAGCTTCTTTTTGACTGCTTGAAGAAAGGAACGTGCTGCACAAATCCTATGAAGTTTGCAAAGTATTTTCATTGTCAGGAGTATAAAGTAATAACTGCAGTTTGTAATATGTATGCATTTTCAGTCACCCAGTGTAAATAACGTGGAACCTTTGCCCTCATTGGAAGATTTAGATAATACGGTGTTTGGTGTGACAGACAGAAAAAGGCGACTGTCTGTAATAGGTAAGCTAGATATTTAAATAGCTTTAACTGTAAAAACTTTTCTTTTATAATATTATCTTATGAAGATCTTCCTCTCAACACAGACTGTTTGAATTTCTCTTACTTGTCAGTGACTCAACTATAGAGGTTGCACTCAGGGGGGTGGATTTGGAATTTTAAGTCAAAGGTGGTTTAAATATGTGTAATACTGAAAATTAACCAAAAAAAAAAATTGCAAGTAAGTAAATCTATGTAGAATTATTTGAGGTAACTGATAGGTATCCTAGAAAATTGATGTAAGTACTCCCCTTTATTTTCAGATACACAAATGAGTTACTGAAAAATCTGTTTGTTTATATGGCAATGTGTTTCATTGTTCAATTTAGGACTCCGATATTTTTATAATCTTAATGTGTGAAAATTTGTTTAAGGTACTTGTTTTGGCATTGATACAACCTTTTTGCATATTCGTGTTTTAAAGTTGGTGTAATGTTGACTTCCAATTTTAATTCTGAAACTAGGAAGTTTAATGAATAATTTTTTAGACTATTTAATTAATTTATTATGCGTTTATTATGAATAGAGGTATTCATGTTCTTGCAGACATTCTACAAAGAAAAACTGAAATTCTCAAGAGTTAGAAAGGATTAGTTGACATAGGTGAAAGGGTTTGGATTTTTATTTTGTTTCAAAAGAAATGCACACCCAGCTAGGTGTGCAGGCAAATTGTATTTCTGTTCCTATACAATGAAAATTCTTTTTAATGCCATTGAGGCAACCCTGCCCCACATTTTTCATAATTCCTGGATTACAGATTATAAATGCTAGACCTAAGTCCTGTATTGCATAGGCATTTGGGAAATTTCTAAAGCAAGGGGTGATCCAGGCAGACTCAGTTCTTATGAAGCATTTGAATAAAGCCCCTGGATTCTGGGTTAGTGAAGAGACTCTGACTAGCCCTTTTCTTTTAAAAGGTTCTAATACTCGCGATAGGAGTTCACCTCCCCCAGGATACATTCCAGATGAGCTGCATCAGGTGGCCCGCAATGGGTCCTTCACCAGTATCAACAGTGAAGGTGAATTCATTCCAGAAAGTATGGATCAGGTATGTGTGTGATTTATTAAAATTAACGTTTTTGTTAGGTTGATTTATGAAATACTGCTGTTCAAGAAGGATATGGAATTGTTAGAAAGAACAGCTAAAAAAAAGATGTCAACCCTAGAAAACATGATCTGTGAGAGAAGGTTAAAATAATTGTGGTTGTTTAGTCTTGTAGAACCTGTTTTTTCTCTGTAAGCCTCTTCAATTATTTAAATATGTTACTACAAGGACAAAGATAATATCCTTAATTTCCATGATAATTGAGTGAGGTAGTGATAGATATAAATTACAGCAAGAGATGTCTACATTAGAAAGCAGAAACCCTTTTGTTTTAATGAGAAGGATATGTAGGCAAGACCAGTTTTACAACTTTACCAGGTAATTAAAGGAGTTTTTAAAGAAGAGTTTGGATCTGTCAGAATTATTTGGACTCATTTGATACTGTGTTGGGATAGAGGCAAGGGGGATGGTGATAGGCCTGGTATAAATAAGATCTGAAATATTTTCCATGGTCACATTTGTGTATGAGGATCACAAATGTATGCTATTTTGTTCTCCTTATTCACCTGCATTGTTGCTGTGGGATATCACCACACTTAGCATGAATAAAAATCCTGCTTTCTGAATATCAAAATTGCCCTTAAAAGTAGCAGGAAAAGATGGAGGAATGTAATGGCTCACAGAATTGGCAATGGAGAAAGAGATATTTTAAGGAAGAAAAAAACAAGAAGCGTACCCAAATCACTTCAAGTTCTTGTTGACATTGGCACTGTATTTGCAAATAGCGAGAGGCAATGGTTTTTATGAGCTGACTTAAATGAGAGACAGATGATAGAATAAAAATAGAGGCAAAGAGATTGTGCAATTTGTTGCACAATTTTAATGACTGATCTGAGACTAGAGACTGAATCTCCTAATTTCCAGACAAGGGTGCTATTCATTATCATAGCCACATGGTCATAACCAACCCAGGCCTGGATTCACTCAGTGAAATGATTACTTTTGGCCTGGGCAAAATAATTTTTGGTCACTGACTGGTCAGATAGACAGATGATCTCTGAGGCCCAGGATGTCCTTTCACTTGACCATTCAAGAAACATGTAACCTGTCATGTATGCATTGCTGTGTAAACTGTCCGCAGGGTTTAAATACCGGAATTTTACTTTCATAGGAAGCCAGGTTAGTTCAACCTAAGCAGCCTCAAGGGCCAGATTGGGGTGTTGGGAACTCACAACCTGTTTTTGCTCCCTTCCTCCTAAATTGCCACATCACCATGGCAAGTGCTGACCATGCTGCCTACATCTGTCACAACCTGCCCTGCAAAGACAAGAAGAGAATTTGGGAGTGGAGGGCTTGCTGTGCTGTCCTGTTGATCTGCCTGAGCACAACTAGTCACACTCTGACAGGAGACCCCACACTTTCTCTGCAGAAGAGATGATGGATTAGATAGAAGTGGGCCATGGTCTGCCAGTTGGACCATGCTGCATTAAGTTACAGAGGTAATTAATAGGGCAGCAGATGGACTTTTTTCCCTTTCAGGACCCACTGTTCATCATGAGAAGAGAGGAATATAATTGCTGAACCCATTATAAATGTCCTCCCTCATACAGAGTTCATTTAAGTGTCTGAGTTTGCAGAGTGCAAACTCACTTTCTGGACACTGTTTCTTTAATAAGTCTTTGCCCGGGACAAAAACCTTTAAGATGCAGCACAGACCATAAAAATTGGAGGGGTAACTACTAAATTTACAGCAAAAACCTAATGTCCAATTAATGGGAAATAATACATGTTATGTACTATATCAAAATATACTTTATTTTAGGAAGAAGCTCATTTTAAGAGATGAGTTTTCTACTCTCTTAAAAAGACTGAATTGTCACATTCAGTAATTCAAAATTTAGATTCTGTTTCCACTTCTTCTGAAAAATAAATGTGTAAAACACTTCAGATTACTGCAAAAGAGAAGGGAGTGATGTTTGCTTGTCATTAAATTTAGGACTTTAAGGGTGGTACTGCGAGATAAACAAAATGAAAGTCAGCCAACAGAAATACCTGATAATCAAGAGGATGCTCTTGATTATCAATTAATTTCTCTTTCTCTGGATTAGAATTTGAGAAACAGAGAAAGTGTTGATGATTGTTTTCATTATGTAATAGATCTGGCCTAGATAGTCAGTTTTATGACTTCTTCAGACTAATACATGTCAGATTTCACACAGCTTATAAGCATTGATAACTAGGTTGTCAGGAGTGTCTTTGGTGTTTTTGTAAACTCGTTTCACATGAAAGCTCCTTTTATTTGAAACGGGATTTTTGTTGGGGTGAAAAGGGAGAGTATTTATAAATTTTATGCATCCTCCCTCTTTCTTATTCAATTTTTCTTCAGTTGTATTTAAAAATCTGTGTAACTTGCTTGTAGTCTTAAGTAGAGATAAATGTTTAAAAGTTTTTTTACAGTATTTGATTTCAGCTGTTTTCTGTGACTGCTACTTGGCCAAACTTAAGCTACTACAGAGATTATATAAATTGCATTCATCACAATCTGTGTCATATTTGAGATCTGTTTTCTTTGGTGATGACAACAAAATGCACTTTTTTTTTAAAACTGTCATCTTTTTATCCTTTAGAGGCCTTATTTTTGTTATTGTGTTAAGCTACTCTCATGCAGATATTGCTATAATAGTAAGAGACAATGATGTATAGAGGAAGAATGTAGCAGTACAACTTGTTATCTACAAAACATGATAGAGGATTAAATATCTTAACTATATTCTAGTTAGATGTGAGAAAAATGATGGAGTCCTTTCAGGATTGCAGAATGCAATACAAGTTCAACTATGGCAGCTAACTTTTTCTCTAGTAATCAATATTTCTGGTGGGGTTTTTTTGTTTGGTTGTTATTAGGTGTTTCAAAGCAGAAACCTTCAAGTATTTAGAAACAAAAAAAACCCCAAAACTTTAACTTGTTGGTCTTTCTCTGTTTCTGTTAGATGCTGGATCCATTGTCTTTGAGCAGTCCTGAAAACTCTGGCTCGGGAAGCTGTCCCTCACTTGACAGCCCTTTAGATGGGTAAAAATTGCTTACATACATTATTTATCTTTTTATTAGATTGCATAATGTATCAGTTGTAACATATAACAACTCTCCAGCAACAGCTATTACTGAACTTCTTCCAGAAATTCCTCCGTAAGTGTTAGAACATTTGTAAAAGCTTATTGAAACTTAATTGCTTACTAATGCACAGAAAATAGAAGTAGCTTTTTTAAAAAAATAATTTACATTTGAAACACAAAAATTTAGACTTCAGATCCTACAAAAATGTACTGAAAGTTTTTACTAAATTTTGCCCGTCTTACATATATGTGAAGTATATTCCTGGGCAGTGAGCCACCCCATCAAATTTACATTTCTTAGGTACTGCTATATGAAGTAAGCTTCCCTTTTCCAAGGTAGAGGGTAACCAATTCAAGAAAGAGGGTAGAATCATTTAAAGACTTCAACAGGCAATCCCCTCCTTTTCTTTGCAATTACTATTCATTCTTCTCCCCTTGTTCCCATTGCAGACTTTCCACTTACTTTTCTTTGTTTAAACCTGTCAGCTAGCAAGAGGCAGTGTGTACTGTGGTGGGTCTGGAGATCTGTTTTGATTGACCTGTTAGGAGATTCATGTGTTTTGAGACAGTCACTGTCCACAGGTTCTCAGCCACCAGGTAAGCCAAACAGAACATACTCCTGTTTGGCTTGTGGTTGGTCATGCAAATAACCTTGGGTCTTATGTTGTGTAGATTGGTTACTTGTTTATTTGGAACTGTTATGCATATAATATTGCTAATTAAATATTTTATTTAATTGGTAGAAAGGTAAAAAGTTGGAAATCATTGCCTGTTGCAATTACTCAGAGCTATAGTATTCCATAGCACCATTTCATTTGAGAATATTTGATTTGAGGACACAAATACATTTGGTATAACAAATTTTTGAGTTAAATAATGAGTCTCCATTTCACAAGCAAGAAACAATAGACATGAAAAGTATTTTGTGATTGGAGTGTGATAGGTTATACACACACAGTGTTTAATGTAGCTACATAGGATAGAAATTCTACCAAATTGCCAATTTTTAATTTTTTTTTTTTTTGTGGGGTAGAGATGAGTAGGTTATGTGTCTCTATTTAGCTTCTGTTACCCATTACAGAAATTCTTACCAGAAAAAGTAGGACATTGTTTTGGTATGTTTATGGACATATACTGTAATCGGTTGCTCTGACCAGCAATCCCATCCATTCCTTTTGGTGGCTGGGAGTTACATACCAACTGTAGATAAGAAACAATGTGATTGTATAAGAACCAAAAAATTCTTCATCATTCTATAACTCGATAAAATTACTTTCCTAATCCTATGACTTTATGGAGATAAGACGAAATATTTTGAGACGTTAAAAGGTTCTACATTTCTTAGGTTAAATTTCCTCAAGAGTTGAGATTTTGCCAGTCTGTAAACCTTTGTGTTTAGCCGTAAAGGAGTTAAATGTAACAGTGCTTCTTTGTGGCTTTACTTGTGGTAATTCATGGTTTTACTAATATCGTTGCTCGTTAACGGCGTCTGTTGCTTTCTTACTACATTAAGCTCAATAAGCAAGCTTTTGCATTGTTACTGATCTTGAATTGTTATCGATACCTATTAGATTTGATTTTCATCAGTCATAAAGAATTGTGAGACAGTAAGATTAAATGTTTAAATACTAGATTAACAGCAGTTTTTAGACGCTGTATGTTTTTATGCTTCCAGAGACAACTATCCCAAATCTCGGATGCCAAGAGCACAGAGCTATCCAGATAATCATCAGGAATTCTCAGGTGGGAAAAAATCACTGGACATACTAGCTTTCCAGAACTTTTTCTCCTGCAAATAATAGGGCTTAGAAGGGAAGCTCACGTTGAGAGTTATTGTATTACACAAACTTAATATGGTAAGAGAAAACAAAGCAACAAAATCCAATCCAAATGCACACAGTAAAAGATGCAATGAAATATAAGATCTTCCAAATGTTTTCTTCTAGATGATTGTGTGTACCACCACTGTTAATGTGCATAGTATAACTTAGCTGTTTCTCTGAAAAGAATAAATGATGCAGTGGGATAGGGCATGCAACAGTTTGTTATACTGGACTGTAATATCCATCTTTAAGTTTACGCATGACCTTGGCTAATTTATTTGGTTTTGGAGTGCTGTGGTTTAACTCCATAGGCAACTAAGCACCACACAGCTGCTGGCTCACTCCCCTGCAGTGGGATGGGGGAGAGAATTGGAAGGGTAAAAGCAAGAAAACTCATGAGTTGAGATAAAGACAGTTTAACAGGTAAAGCAAAAGCTGCACATGCAAGCAAAGCAAAAGAAGGAATTCATTCACTACTTCTTGTCTGCAGGCAGGTGTTTAGCCATTTCCAGGAAAGCAGGACTTCATCACACCTAATGGTTACCTGGGAAGACAAACACCGTAACTCCAAATATCCTCCCTTCCTCCTTTCTTCCAGCTTTTATTGCTGAGCACAACCTCGTATGCCTTTGGTCAGCTGGGATTAGCTGTCCCTGCTGTGTCCCTTCCCAGCTTCTTGTCCACCCATGGTGCTTGTGGGGCAGTGTAGGAAACAAAAAAAGCCTCGATGCTGTGTAAACACAGTTCAGCGATAACTAAAACATCCCAATGTTATCAACACTGTTTTGGTCACAAATCTATAACATAGCACCATATGAGCTACTCTGAAGAAAATTAACTCTGTCCCAGCCAAAACCAGTACATGGAGCCTTCATTTTTTCCTGTGTGAAATGAGGATCTCTTTGAAGTGCTCATGACTTCTTCAACTGAAAGCACTGCAAAGTGAAAGGATGAAGGAGAACTGTGTGCTGTGCCTATAAGTTAATCGTCACCACTAATGTTGTTTACTCTGTTGTTTACACTAATGTATGATACTCTGGCTTGAATCCAAGTTGCTGTGCATGGTTCAGGATACAAAGTGTAATGGGTATCCTTGAAAGCGCTTTGAAGCGTCTCTCATGAACATGCCTTGCTATAGAATTTTGCTGTTGAACAATAATTAGCTGCCAGTGAATATGGGGTGTTTGTGGTTTTTGGTCTATTGTATACTTTCAGGCTTCTTTTTATTTTGTTTACGAAGCTTTATCCAGATAACTGTGTGATGGTGTGTTTTTCCTTTTAAAGATTCTAGAGTGCTTAACAGATTGCACCACTTTTAAATTAAAATAAAACTAAAACTATGATTAAGAAGCATTTTCGTGGCAGAGATAATACCAAAAAATTTGGAAATGTCAGAAACTAGTTCACCTTTGGTAATCTTAGTCTAGTTTACTTTTATTTGTTTATTATGGTTACTTTTTTAGTTAGATGATCTTGGAATATTTTTTCTGTTGTTTTTCTGTGGGATGCTCTGGTATTTTAACAATGGGATAGACAGCAATTATTAATTCCATATTCAATATTTATTCTCATGATTTGATGCATAACAAAACCAGAATAGTACATAGAGTCAGAAAAAATGTCCATCTGGCCTACTCTTTCCTCCTGCCACAAGCAGTACCAGGCTTCTATAAAGAAATGTGTAGTATTCCTTCCTCAGAATATATTCCTAGTCATGTATAGCTTAAGGGTTCTGCAAATGCAAGATGCTCTTCTGTGATTTGATGGATTTTTTTTTCCTTCCACAAATTTTTCCAGTCCCTGCTTCAATTTGTAAAAACTTTTTCAGAATCAACAGTATGTTGTGACAAGAAGCTGTGCAACTTACCGTGTTTTTTGAAGAAGTATGCCCTTTGTGATATTTTTAATAGACTTTATGCCTGCCTTTGAGCTGTTGCTTTTCTAGTCTATAGAGGCCTACATTCCTTATGGAATTTTGTATCTTTGATCATCTCTGTACTTCTAAATCTTTTCCAGTTTTACTAAATCCTTTGAAATAGAGTAGACCAAAACCTTTTCAGTACATCTTAATGATTTATAGCATTTAATTTGCTTCTTAGCCAATACAGAGTTCAGCTGCTGCTTTACTGGAACTCTCTATCACCAACCTTTAGACTAGCCTACAGTGAATTTCATCTGCCACTTTAACATCCAGTCACATAGACTCTTAATGGCTTTCTGTAGTTGGCTTTATTTCTCAAAATGATTTTGTCACCTCACTATTCATTGTTCTGTCCAGAGAATTCATGCATAATTAAACTTCATGAGTTGTAGCCCAGATTCCTGTGAAACTGTTGACCATTTACTCCCATCTTAAGTACTTATCTTCTAACCAATTCTTTATGCATAAGGGACTTTTCCCTTTATCTTATGAATACTTTTCTCCTTCAAGAATTTTTAAAAGAGGACCTATTGAATGTGTTTTAGTAATTCAAGCTGTGTTGACTCATTCACCAATTTTTCATATTTATGCATCTTTAAACTTTATTCTTTGCAATAGTTTCTGCCAATTTTCCTCTAGAAACTGTTTTTAAAACTGGAGTAATTAGGCATACTGCAGTCCTCTGACATTCTTTTAAGCAACAGGTTACAAACCACTTGAGCTATTGAATTCTTGATCCTTTGGAACTTTTGGCTGAATGTCCTTTTAGTTCTTATGACTTGTTAGATTTGTGGCTTTTGTTCTATAATCTTTTTTTCTCTGATGCTTCAACTTGAAGCATATCCTCTGATATATTCCCCCATGTTTAAGTTTATAATACCAAACTGATTCATTTCATATGCTTCTGTCACATTTTAAATTTTGAAATCTATCTTTTTATTTTCTAGTAGAGTATGATATCCCAATATTTGAGAAATTTGGAAAGGGGGGGACTTATCCACGAAGATACCATATTTCATATCATCAACAAGACTACAATGATGGTAAGTGTGAATACTGCAAGAATTCTACTTTATTAATCTGTTTTTCTCTTCTTAAAAAGTGAAGAAGAAAATTTAGATTGTAAAATCTTAATGAATGAAAATACTGAGGAAATTGAAAGCTTAACTTCTTTCCTCAAACTCACTTGCTAAACTTCTAATGATTGACAGAGCTGCTGAGCAGTCTTATCTCTGGTAAAGTTATGGATTACAGAATTCATGACTCATATGCACAGCTGTGAAAATGTTCTCTATCTTTAGCCATGCGCAAGTCATCCAGTGTAAGTTTTTGACCTTTGTGACCCTTTTCTGTCCAAAGTAGATATGTCAGTTAGTGTGTCATTTCTTGTTTTGCTTAAAAACAAACAAAAACAATAGCAGAGTTCCTATTAACAGTTTCTCAGATTAAAAGACTAAATGAAATTTACGTGATTTAAACCAAGAATTAACAATTAGCTGGTGAAGTCAATTGTTGGAATGCAAGACAGCACCTGCTGATGTGGCAACAAAACTGATTTAGACAGTAATCACATTGATGTAAATTTAACACGTTAAATTTCCAAAGGAAGGAAAGAGGAGCAGCTGAAGGATTGTCTGACTTGAGGGTGTGTCAAGCACTAGTAGAGAAATGTTAAGAAGACATATTTCTCCAAAGACCAGATAGTTTCCATGCTGCAAATGAATGAGCACAGCAATAAATTGAATTCTGTTACAGAAATCACATAAATACCAAATTGAAGGACTGCAAGGCAGCTGCGGTCCAGTCCCTTGCTCTCAGGCAAGATTAAAGAGGCAAAGATCTGTCACACTGACTTTAAGTAAACTCTTAATTGACAGAGAAGAGATACTCATCTTCTTTACGTAACTAACTCTGCAGATAGCTTATCTTATAACTTACCTTTCTCTGTCTTCTAAATCATTTTTCCTGCAAATGAAACTAGTAACTAGTTACTCCATTTTAACACAGTGAAAATTGGTCACTGCCCATATATAACACTACCTCACACACACATCTGTTTCTCACCTTGGTTTTCTTCTCTCAAGCCTTAAGCCTTACCTCAGACATTTTGCGAGTCTCTCTTCTTCCCCCCCCGGTCTCTTCTCCATTCTTGTCATGGCCAAAACTCGATAGACTACTCTAGCTGAGGCTTTTCTCATGGCCACTTTATATATAACAAACTCAGTAGGTAAGAGTCATGTTAATACATTCCAGAATGACACCTTACTTTTTTCCATAGTCACCGTACTGACTGCTGTTCAGTCTGTGGTCTATTATAGTTCCTATATCCTTTTTGACATGACTTTTAGCCAACCCATTGCTTTACACTTTGTGGTTTCTGCATTCGATTTATCTTTAAGTATGTATGTTACACTTCTTTACTGAATTGCATCTTGTTGATTTCTGAATCCTCTCCAACTTACTAATATAATTTTGAATTTTGATTTTTTTTTTTTAATCTTTAAGTGGACTTCCAGCCACACTTAACTTGATGTCATCTGAAATATTTCACTGTAGTATGTTCCATCATATACACATCATCAGTTAAAATAGCGTATGGAAGTGGACTGAAGGTAAACTGCTGTGAGTGTCCACTCAAGTCATCCTACTCTGATGAAAAGTCGCTGATAACTGCTCTGAATCTGTCTTGGGCATACTCTACATAGTAATTTGGTCTATGCAACATTTTACTAGTTAGCTTATGAGAATGTCCCAATGAAATGGGGAAATTGGATTAGCTACATGTGACAAACCAATTATGGCTGGTTTATCATCTTATTATCTTTTCAGTGGTTTATAAAACTGCTTAATAATATGTTTGCATATCTTTCTTGGAATTTAAATTGGCCAGATTAGTATATAAATCCAAGTCTACTTTTTCAGGGATATTTTATCTGCCTTCTTCAGTCCCCTGGGAACTCCTTCTCTAGTGCAATACCTAATGAATCAGACTCCTTCAGCTGTTTCAGAGTTCTGTAGTATGAAACTTCATCAAGCTATGCTGACCTAAAAATGTTCGTGTTATCTAAATATATTAACATGAATTGTGTTAGTCATCTGGTTGTAATTAACCTTTTTGAAGATCAATGCGTTTTGGTTTTTTTATTCTAATGCTGTAGCCATCTCTGAATTATGCATTGTTTGTGATTACTTTTTTTTTTATTTTTTTTTGTGGTCTTCCTGTTGATTCTATGTGTAGGTCTTTCTCTGCATTCAATTCTTCTTAGTTTACAGGATGAAGATGCCAGCCTGGGCACCACTGGAATGTAAACATATCTCTTACTCTCCTATTTATGAAAAATTTGCTATTTATACCTTAATAGAGCAATAAAAGTAGAGGCAGGGCATTTTCCTCTTTCCTCTCACAGCCCCTCCAGGTTTCTGAAGCACGTCAATTACACTTCAGAACAGTTCCAGAATTAGGTCCCAATTTCAGTCACTTAAATGTAAACCGGGTTTTGATTCAGTCTAATCCTTACATACATCTGTGGTGAATGTTTGTTTTCTTCTAGGTGGAAAGTTAAACCAGGAAATTTCATGATCATTACATCATATCATACGCTGTGGAAGATTTGAACTACATTATGTGAGATTCATAAAGTATTTGCATACACACATTGCATAGCAGTATTTTTTGTAGTGTAACATTAGTATTCTTTATATATCATTGAAGGTCGTAAAACTTTTCCAAGAGCCAGAAGGACTCAGGGGAACAGCTTCCGATCACCAGTTAGTTTCAGTCCCACTGATCACTCACTGAGTACCAGTAGTGGAAGCAGCGTCTTTACGCCGGAATATGAAGATAACCGAATGAGGAGGAGGGGAAGTGATATAGACAATCCTACTTTGTCAGTTATGGACATCAGCCCACCCAGTCGCTGTAAGTTAAGGCACTTTGTGAACTCCACTGTAAAACACTTACCTTTCGAGTATAGCATGTCAAAACTAAGCATGTCATCAAAATACATGCAGTTGAATAATATGTTTTTATCTCTCTAATAGGAAAAAGTCAAGACAGTATGCTTACCAGTTTTTTCATTGCTTACTGTGCCAACCTTAATGTAGATTTTCACATGGAATTTGCATCTGCGATAGCAAAACACTGTAAAAATATTTTTTGATGATTTGTTAGACTCTTGAGGACCCGAGAAGGGTTATGTAGGTTGCAGTTACTATTTATTTTTGCAGATGTCAGTCAAGTTTTCTGATAAATTGTAGACCTCAGGTGGTACTGTTTTATATCTGTGGTGGCATTTCAGGAGCAAATATACTTTCTGATGACTTCAGTAGCTGGTACATTTTAATCATGCCTTGATTTAAAAAAAAAAAGTTACTAATTTTGTTTAACATGCTCTTTTCTGTTTTTCAGATTAGCTGTTGCTAGTTATTTTAAGTATGTCTATCTCTACCAGAAATTATTTTGTGAACAAATTTAAGTAGCTCACGTTTTCCATCTTACAGGAAGTTTCATTGATCTTTGTAACTTATATGGGGAGGTTTAGGACGCATAGTCTCTGTTATTGAAAGACATGGTCTTTTAAAAAAATATTTTCTGTGTATTCCAGTTTTTCTCGATCAGCTGAATAACAGGCTCATTTGAAAACCAAAACATACTTATATTTTCAGCACCACGAGCTCCAACTAACTGGAGACTTGGTAAACTGCTGGGTCAAGGTGCATTTGGCAGAGTATATCTGTGTTATGATGCTGATACCGGAAGAGAACTGGCTGTTAAACAAGTTCAGTTTGATCCTGATAGTCCAGAAACCAGCAAGGTAAGTGATACCAGAGAGTTCGTAAAGGGCTTTTGCTGAAGTGCTGTATTCCAGACTAGACTGCTGTTCTTTTCCTTCAACAGGATGATGTTTGAAACATGTTGTGTTTTCGTGTCCTTGTTAGGAATTCTGTTTTGTTAGTACCTCAGCGAATTAGTTTGGTTACCTGATTTTTATGTTGTATTACATTTCTTAATTTTCAGACATCCTTATGCAGTGAACATACATAACTTAATTTGGTGCGGTCTCAGTCTCTAAAATTAAACAATCCATTATGAAGTGTGCTCTGAAATAGATTATTATTTATACTTGTAGGAATTGGAACAAGTTGCATTTATAAACAGAAAAATCTGTACTAATTTAAGTGTTCCTGAAAATACATTCTTGAGGATATTTTGTTTGGCTATGAAGACAGTTTGAGATTCTTATCTTTTTTTTATCTTTTGGGGGGATTTGTGTTGGTTTTGTTTCTAAAACTTTGGGCATCAGGGCTAACTACTGTTACTTGCCATATTTCTTCCTGAAGAGCAAACATTTCATTGTTGGTTTATTCTCTCTCTAAAGTTGAACTTGTCCTTCTTTAAATACGGGACACTTGAGGAGAAAAACTACTTAGAAGTAGCACCGATCTTTTATTTCTTTTTTTCCCCAAACCGTACTTGCTGCTTTTTACAGAATGGAAAAAGAATTATTGCTTTTCCTGCATTAGGACTGCGTTCTGCACTGTGGGGAGCAAGGCCAGGGAAACAACGGGTGTAAGAATGATGGCAGAATTGGGTGGCTACCAGTTATAGTTGCTGCTATTAGTGATGAAGGATCAAGGGAAAAAGCCAAGAACCATTTGTGCTGTAGATTTCTAGCATAGTTGGTTTTGCTCCTTCTTTAAAATGTAACAGAACAACTGATTATGCTTTGGAAGTGTTAAATATAAAATACTGTATTCTCTCCTGTACCAAGAGTTTTCTGACCTCACTTACCATAGCATTTTGTAATGTGTCACTCTGTGTCAAAAAATTTGTTTTCTTTCTAACCTCAGAAGTGTGAGGGTATCAGTAATAGTCTGTGATGGATAAAAAGTAAGTTTTTATGAAAGACTTCTAGATGAAATTTGGAATCCAGTCAAGTTTGAATATGTGGGTTAGTATTTTCCAGCATCTTACTGTACAGTGTGTTTCAAAATGTCTTCCTGTTTGCAAAATTTTTAGTGTTTCAGATAGGTCTAGAGAAAACACCATATCTGTTTATGTTTTTCTTTGTTGTATTTCATTATTACAATATTAAGTGGTCCTCAAAGCCATTTTTAAAATATAGTCTGTCATCCTGGAAAAGTTAAGAATTAATGCTAATTATTCCACTACAAAGATTTAAAGGTTGGGTGGTTTTTTTATATTAACCCAGTTGGAGGCTTGTGACATGTTGCGTAATGATCATTGACTTCATACACATATTGATATCTGCTATGCTCTGAAACAAACATAACTTCAAAATAGCAGAAACAATGAAATAACAGCAAAATCATCCCAAAGTCAATTTATAGAAAAGCCATAGATTATTTTTTTCTACTTCCCTCAATCTAATGGTGATATTTTCTTGTTATAAAATGTATAATCTCTACATAAGCTACAAGGATATTTTGTTAGTTAGTTTGCATAACCCTTCAATATGTACATACTGTCCTGCTTTTAAAAAATCCAAATCCAAAACATTATTATTACTACATCAAGCATGGTAAATCTTGTCTGTTTTTTCCGGTTAGGAAGTAAATGCACTTGAATGTGAGATTCAGTTGCTGAAAAATCTGCTGCATGAAAGAATTGTTCAGTATTATGGCTTCTTGAGAGATCCACCGGAAAGAACACTCTCTATATTCATGGAATATATGCCTGGGGTAAGCAAGAGAGCCAGTCCACTTCAACTGTTGTTTCCATGCAATGTGACAAGCACCCAATTAGATAGCTTTTGCAGAAGTGGACACAGATATTAAGGAAGTGTCCAAGTTAAAAGCAGTAGCCAAAGATGGTTACTGACAAGTGCTTACAGGAGCCTATCTTCTTCATTGCTTGTTTGGGTTTTCAGAATTACAGTGGTTTGTACAAATGTTTGAATTGCCTGGCTATGTCTTTGAAAAGACAATATTATCATTATTAAACTCTTGAATCTTCCTGAATTTTAACGTTTCTTTTTGTTGTGCTGTTGTGTAGTCACCGTCTCAACTGCTCAATTATTTTGGGAAAACAAAAAGTAGCTGAGATGGGTGTGGGAATAAAGTGCATACAGAAAATAATCTTGGTGCTTGTTTTCTGTGTGGCACTTGGGTAGATGCTGAATTGTTCTCCTACTCCTACTGCTCTATTAAGAAATATTATAAGGTCAGAAAACTGTAGATTTTCATTTTCTCACCAAGTGGGGTCAGCACAGCTAAATAAAATATGCTCGTATAAAACCATAGTATTTCTGAATAGTTACAGGATTCTACTTTACTATGAGAAGAAAAGCAGTGTGGGGGGGTTTTTGGTGGTAGTGGTTTTCTGGTTTGTTTGGGTTTGTTTTGGTTTTTGTTTTTTTTTGTTTTTTATGTGAGTTCTCAGATTTATTTTGGGAGGCTTGTTTAATGTTTCTGAGATTTGGAGGACAGTGTCACAGAAGTAATCTTAGCAGTTTGTAACTCTGTGTGACAAAGCCAGGTTATACAGAAATAGTTACAAACCCATGAATTTTTGATTTAATGTCATTTTAAGCCAAGACTTGCTTACCTTTTAATTTTTACATAAAGCACCATCCTCCAGCATGTGGTGTTTTTTTTTCTTGACAATATTTTTTTTTCCCCTGAATATAAACTAACCACACTAAGCAGCATATGTTTTGTCCAACTTGAGTATCACCATTTAACCATCAAAAAAGTTGAGATTGGTGTTCCAGTAAAAATACTGCTGCTGTCTTTTTCTGTGCATCACATTGGAACTATTCAGCTGCCTGACAGTTTTAAAGTTAACAGCTTAACATTTCAATATATGACTTCTCTGTCCAGCCTCTTTTTTTGTCAAAGTTTGTATTTTTCTTAGCAGAGGTAAAACTCTATCTGTGCTTTTAAATTGATCTAGAAGAAGTATTGCAACTTTAAATGTCTACATTTCAGGCATAAATTTCATTGAAGTTCAACTATATTATTAGCCCACTTGTGATTCCAGAAATGTTAAGAGTGTTTTGTACTTCTTGTTTGCCATAGGGTTCCATCAAAGACCAACTGAAATCATATGGAGCACTTACAGAGAATGTGACTCGTAAATATACACGGCAGATTTTGGAAGGAGTTCACTATTTGCACAGTAATATGATTGTCCATCGAGATATTAAAGGTAACGATAGTTCTGTGCACAGGTCAGCGCTTTTTACTACAAATTCTTTTCTAGTCTTGTGTGAAGTGCTAAAATGTAATTGTTTGAAATGCCAAAATATTGACTGAAAATCAGTGAAATTGCTTTCCATCATTTATTCCTGTCACTGTTGTAACCTAAGCAGGAAAAAATAAGCATCTTTGATGTTTTAGCAGACTTCAGAAAACGTTTGCGTAGTCTCTGTCTTAAACAATCATGATAAATTTCTTTCTGGTTTTATCTTAGCATTAATAGCTTTGAATATATCAAAGGATGATGTCATTGTAAATACACAGAATGTGCAGAGGAAAGCATCATGACTCAAAAGTTTATTTTTATAGAGTTATGTTTCTGTCAGTTACATAGAAATTATCCAGCACTTCACTAGTACAAGAAATGACTGGCAGAGTTGACTTCCCTGATCAAATGACTCGGACTTCTTCCATTTTACTGCCAGGAAACCTGAGGGAACAGACATATTTACTTTTTGCAGATAGATATAGGTGACTTGCAAGGGCTACATAAGCCAGTTATGAACATGTAGGAAGATATTGATGTGCAAAATGGGTGTGTTGAACACAACACTGTTGTATTCCCTAAAACTTTTACAATTTTCCTATTGCTTTGTATCAGTAGCGTTTTGTTCCAAAAAAGGTTGAGATATCACAGTCAATTTGTACATGCTTATGGCTTATGCAGACAAGCGTTTCGAACAAATCTGTAACACAGTTTGAGATTGTGCTTTCATATAGTAAGAAGACATTTTCAGATGTGTGGAAACTTCTGTCCCATTTCTTTTTATTTCTCTTGTATGGGACTTTCCTTATTTTGTCAGCAAGGCTTTACAAAAGTGACTGGGACTTCCTGGAAAAGGCCTAGGATGCAATCCAATGTGTACAATTCATTATTTTCTGAACCTCAGAATAAAGGAATAGGAATGAGCAGAGAAAATAAATTCTCTGGCTTGAAATACTAGGCTGATCTTGCATTGTACCACCAAATCCAAACTTTCATTACCGTTTTCCACGCCAAAATGTTAACAGGCCTTTCATTAATGTAGCACTGTGTTCCCTTCCTTCCAGGGGCAAATATTCTGCGAGATTCAGCAGGTAATGTGAAGCTTGGTGACTTTGGTGCCAGCAAACGACTGCAGACGATATGTCTCTCTGGTACAGGAATGAAGTCTGTCACAGGAACTCCATACTGGATGAGTCCAGAAGTTATTAGTGGAGAAGGGTACGGCAGAAAAGCAGATATCTGGTATGTTAAAAAAAGCATCTCTACTGAAAGGTGTCATGTCAGAATGGGCTCTTTGAAAAAGAGTGTAAGTGTTCGTTGTCTGAAGTTGGAGTATTTCATTCTGGGGTTTAAGCCAAAGAAGGTGGCAAGTGGGAGCACTGACAGTCATATTTGGAGACTGTAACACTGAAACCTGGGAATTTTTCATTTGTCAATTCCTCAGCCCACTGATTTAGGAATTGTAAGAGAATCCTTTGAACTGACCTTGCATGAAGTTAGGATTACCAGATTGTTTGTAAATCCTGGAGAGGTACTGGGTGAAAGCAACATGTGAAGCTTTGAATCATCAGTTAGGTCAATGTCTTGTAATGAAACTTTATTGCTGAAATACCTTTGATGAAAGGCAGAAAATGAAGTGCTGGTCCTTTAAAAGATGAGCACATAAGAATTAATTAGCCATATTTAAATGGGAAGTATCAAAAATAATTTGGTTTAAGTTGTTATTAAATATTTAGGAATTAAGAGGGATACGTAAATTTTAAAAATGAATATTTGTGATACATTGTGTAATATGACATAGTCCAACACAGCGCCAGCCCAATGGACAGATGATTTTAGTAATTAGACTCCTTGCACTGCAGGTGATCTCCAAACACACAGAATAATAGGTAGGCAAAAGTAGACATGCAAGAGTAGTGACATTATGTGTATTTAAAACGGAACCACATTATATCCAACCAATGGCAATACTTTTAATGTCAGGGAAATTAATTTAGCCTGCTTCAGATCACTTAGTAATTATTCTGCTATACTTGAATAATAGAACAGCCTTATAGATTTCAGGCAGTTGAGTTGTTCAACTTTGAAGTATTTGTACCAAGGCTAATAACATGTTTTTTGATGGAGAAAATCCTGGTTAAAAGTAAGAAAAAATACTGAAGTCTGACTTCTGTCAGTCAGTAAATCCTTATTGTGGAAAGAAATGTACCTCTGTCTAACCATAAAACTTCTTGCAAGCATCTTGAAAAACCATAAAACTTCCTGAAAATTGGGGCATTATGCCAGCCTATCCATTTTGCAATATCATTTGCTTGTTACTGGAAGAGGCTGATCTTTCAGGACTGACGGAACTAAGTTTTTCTGGCCACATGCATGTCCCTGTGCCTTCCTAAATTCTTTAAACATAAGCTTTTTATACAAAGATTGTTCAGGATCTTAAAATTTTGTTTGGCAATCTAAGTATGTTTTTAGTATCCTTAACTAAAAGAGGAAGATAACACTAAAGCGTGGTTTTAAACTTTTCAACTGCCATGTTATGTTTATTGGTGATAACTTATGCATTTCTAATGAGCTAGCAATATATGGAGTATACTCAGAGCATTCCTGTTGCTTTGCATTTCCATTAGGCCGTAATGAGCAAGACAGCTTTCAAGTGCATTCAAATCCTGCAAGTGTCTGAAGAGCTGGGGTACAAGGGTTGTGCGGCGCTCATGGCCTCTATCAGCCTGCTGAGCACTGAATAGTGGCACTGCCATGATGCAGTTGGTACTGCCTAGATAAATATCTAACTATCTTTTCACATCTAACGATCTCTTCACTGAGGTAGTAGCTTTTGGCCCAGTGAAATAATGAAGTGAAGATATAGGTAATGATTTGTCTAACTTTGAGATAAAGCGTACAGCTGTACATGCCATTTTTTTAAACACCTGTTTTCCACTGAAGTTGCTCTGTAGAGTTAAGAGGACACTACTTATTTGTGATATTTTAGTCGCGCTCTGCTATTTTTTGTTTTCCTAGAAGGGCATGACTGTCTTATAACCTGCTGTTTCACTTCTGCCTCTGTTTCAGGAGCGTAGGTTGTACAGTGGTAGAAATGCTCACTGAGAAGCCCCCGTGGGCAGAGTTCGAAGCAATGGCTGCCATCTTTAAAATTGCCACTCAGCCAACCAACCCTCAGCTACCACCTCATGTCTCCGACCATGCTCGGGATTTCTTGAAACGGATTTTTATCGAGGCCAAGCTGCGACCATTTGCAGATGAACTGCTAAGACACACGTTTGCACACTATCACTAACAGCCTGCCTCAACTCAGCTTGCATCTACTGCATTTATTTTCTATTTGACTGCACTTTTATTTTTATTTTTTACAGAAAAAAGGAGCAAAAAGACAAGAGAGAGAATATTCTCTTGAATCTTTGTTTCACTTAGATTGTAAACAATCTAAATTTTGTATCTAAAATGAGAATCTTCTCTCCCCCGCTCCCACCAGGACTAGAACTTTTTGTTTCTATGATGTACTGATGTGGTTCATGTAGATAAAGCACTTTAGTACATATTTGTTCCTTATTTAAAGGGGAAAAAAAAAAAAAAAGACAAATGCTTGGACAGTCAGGAACTGTGTGACTTTTTCTGACACCGCTGACTGACTCAGGGTGCAAGGAAAAATAGACATGCAGCTAAAGGACAAGAAGGTTACTTCTCTGATTCTTCTTTATATTGTAGGTACTTGCGGCAGAGAGTTCTAAGTTCTTACTGTATTTTAGCCGTTTCTGGATTTTACAGTTTAAGCTGGAACATGCATTTCTGGGAATTGGTGATAAAGCTGGAAGAACTTGGAACTCTTTGTACAGCAGCGTGTCTAACTGGTACTTCTATGTGACCAAAAGAAAATAACAAAAAAGAACTCGACACTGATGTACTAGTTAGAGGTTTTGGTGTAGAACTATTGTATTATCTTAATAGGAAAATAATTACAGGTAAACAGATTATGGACCCAGACTCCTAGGAGCTACTATACTGCAGGGGGAAAATTTCCATAATAGGCAAGGGTCAGCTGTTGGATGTAAATAGTTAGGAGAATGCCTCCTGCTGTATCTGCCAAAGAGATCCTCTGTTACATAAGCTTGGAGGGAGACAGTTATCTTAGATAAGAAAAAATAGTGATGTTGAGAATCAGTTTTCCTCCACAGTCCCATGAATGGCTGGAGGGGAAGGGGAGTGACTAATCCTCGTGCAGTATATGAGTTACTTGATTCAGAATGAGCTATAAGAAATGTTTTCAAAGCTGTTGAGAGGCGCTAGGATGGAATGTATGTCAACATCAAGTGCCTGAATAATACAAAATTCTTCCCATTATGCACTAAAAAAATTGTTATAGTAACAAAGTTCATCTTTGGATGTGTTGAAAGTTCCTGAAATAAACACCTTTTAACACCAGGAATAAGTCACTGAGAAAGATAAGACTCCAGTTATATTTCTAATAAGGTAGCGATGATGAATCCACATGAACAAGGAGGCACAGCACAAAAGATTGTATGAAAAATAGGCCAAAAGGGCAAAGAGAGCCAGCAATTAAATAACATGAGCATGATTACTCCAGCCTGATAATCCAGTTGATTGGTGTTTGTCAAATTTCCAGCTGTCATAAAATGTATGTTAATCACTTTCCCATTTCTGAAAAACTCCAATAAAAGAACAAAAGTAAAACTCTGAAATACTGCTTCTCAACTGAGAAGTCCAGGTACTGATCAGGTTTAGTGAATAACTGACTTTTCACAACAGAAAAGTCAAACTCTCATATTTTTGTAGAAGAACACAACATACATAATTTAAAAGGGCATTTGGAAATAAACGAACTACAGAACTGAAATAATGTATACTGTTTTGGATGATTCATTGCTTGCTTTTGTTGTTTTGTAAAGGCAGAGTGGGCTGGTACTGTGAACCTTGTCTGCTCTGACAAGGGCTCTACCTGTTTTGCATCTTTAGAGGACTATCAGAATTATGAAGTGCATGGAGATAGAACAATAAGCTTACCCATTCCCATGGTAGTTCACTCATCAGATTTCTGAATTTATTCTGCTAGCTTCCAAATTTTGTACCAGAGCATAAGCAGGAGTATGGTTCTATCCTAATCACTTTACCTGTAGTGGAGTAAGAAAGATTTTTTTTTTTTTTTGAGGCCATCTATCCTGAGACTGAGTGTCAGCTTCTTCGGTTTATGTGAGTATGTTACCCAGCTTATAGTTTTCTTGGTCAGGGGATACAACTGTGCAAAGTCTTCTGAGCATGGGAAGGACTAGTCAGACCAGTGAAAGGTTAGAAGGCTGCAAGGAGAGTCAGCTTGTACTGACTTTTTTTTTTTTGCTCCTCTATCACTAGAGAAAAGCTATGACAACAGCCTTTAAGAAGAATTGGTATGTACTCTGCTGTAAAGGACTTCTGCTTTATAAGAAAATTTAGTGACAGCAGGGATGGGAAGTTTAATGTAGAGCCTAATAGTTTATGCAGGTAATTTAAAGATTATATAATTGAAATGATCAATTTCAAACAGATTAAGAAGGTACCAAAACCAAGGTGAAAATGTATATAAAAATCAGTAGTGGACAGTGAGATCTGAAAAGGTAAGGAAATTTTATATTACCAAAAAAGGACATTAAAGGGAAAATGTAACCAGGTTTATCTGTAGCATTCATAACATTTAAATATACTATTCTAAAAAGAAACTGCACTCTCTGAAGCTTAATGATTTTCAGAATCTGATTTTCTTACAATATGTCCTTTTCGTGAGACAGTGCTGGCTCATGTATATTGCAATATCACTTCCTCATTGTGATTTCTAATTACTGAATAATCAAGTTTGCTGCTTTTGTGCCTTTTCTAAAAAATGGCATTCAGTCATGACAATGGTAAGCATTTTGGAGCCAGGAAAAAAAGAATTTGCAGAATGCATTTTCCTTAATTTCTTTGATGATTCAGAAAGCTGCCAATGTAAAGACAGTGCTTCTTAAATGAAGATGAGATTTGCCGGTTCCAGTGATTCTAGTAAAATTTTATGAATTTAACCCAGATTAGACTTGAGCTATTTTTTTCACCCTATGGAGAATTTGTCTAATTACTTAAGCAACTTACAGTAAATTAGATGGTTATTACCATAAATGTTTTGAGCTAGATATAATTATGAAGCTAAATCAGACTTTTACCAAAAGGTTGGCTAATCTTTATCCCCTATTGGCGTAATGTAGTAAAACAAGCTCCATTTAATAATGTAGTATCTCTGTATACAATGTCTGTAAAATGCTTACATCAGCTACTGACATGATAATTAACAATCCATAGTGCTAGAATTTAAGAGGGCACATGGAATTGCATGCTTAGAGCTCCATTTGAAGAGGGCTGCAGAGCCAAGATCCCCACTCACAACTTCTCATGTCTTTCTTACGAAGACACCAGCATTTTAGAGCCATGAATTAGTCTTAATTGTTGAATCCTATTATTTTTAATTGTTGAATCCTATTACTTGAAAATGCCAATGAAAACAATGCTATTGCAGGGTTGTTTTGCTTTTCTGTAAATGCCACAATGAAGCTATGCTCTCAATAATAAGGATTGAGGTTCACAGTGAGTAGTATGCATATTTTCAAAAGACTTACTTATCTGCTAATGAATTTTTTTTATTCTGTTTCACATATTAAGTAACAAAAGTTAAGCTACTTCTGTAGTATGGTTTTAATGGTGTAACTAACAGCCCTGTGAAAGTGTGACTGAAAGTTTCAGAGGTATTAGAGCAAATTGTTTATTTTTAATTTGGGTGACGGAAATATCCATGCAAGGACTTAAAAAGGTATGGATGTAATAATTGTGAATTTAAATCTACATAGACATCTTTCTTGACAGTTTAAATATAGTCTTAAAACTTTAACTTGATTTGCAATTTGATTTGTAGCTAAACAATGCTTTCAGTATAACAAAATGAAAGTTATTTGGGTTTTTTTAGGTAGTGCCTTTTTATCTGTATGCCTTAATTTTATTCATATTTGAACACCATATTGAAATATGTCATACAATTCCATGTCACCCAAGCAGTCTTAAGAGTATGGGTTTTTTTCAAAGTGCCCAAACCAGAATTCGCCCAACTGCATTGAAAAGTGTACTTTAGTTATAATCTGTGGCAGACATTTAAATTCAGAATTTTAAAAAGTTATTTTTACAGCACAGGAAGCTGTGCTAATACAGGTTTTATACTTGCGTTCTGGAGATTGTACACTAATGCACATACCAGAAAAAGGACTTCTCTGCACTCACAGAAATACTGTTAGAGCCGGATTTAGCTTCCTAGCTTGGGGTACTAGACTCTGGGTTTACTGTGGAGACCGCAGCAGAGTTCTTAATGGACTTGAAATTAGTTGGTACATTTGTAAACATGGTACTGTATTAAAAGCTGTTTACTTTTGGTACACAGGAATATGATGTCTAAGCACATCAATAGATTTCTCAGTGAAGCTAGCTTCGTGCGCATTAAATTCTTTCCTGTGCCTTTTGGATCATCCGAATCCTGCCATTGTCTTGACTGAAAGCCTTGTAGCACCTGTAGGTACAGCACAGTACAGCAAGCCATTCTTTTGGACAGCATAGAGCAATGTCTAACTGCAGCTTCAGAGACCTGAGCAAATTGGTCAGATATACAGTTATTTATAACCAATTTCTTACTTTTTTAAATCTTGAAAGTCTTTATCACACATATAGAAAAGCATAATTTGTGTGCTTGAATGTAAGTCCCTATGGTGTTTCTGGAAAAGCAAAAAGTATTACCTACCGCCAGTAGCACTTCTTCTTGCTGGTAACTTGCTGTCTTGTGTTAATGGCAAGTCTGCAGTGTAAAATCACATACAATTACCAAAGCTTTTCTATCCCCATATACATATAGCCAAAAGTGATGTTTCATGGATTAGTACTGTTACTTATAGATACATAGATATCCATCAGTAAGCTACTGCTAACTGAGTAAAGCAGGTACTAGTAAAAAGTGATAGACACTGCCCATATTTAAGAGATTTGGGTGTTTATAGTTGCTGTTTTAATGTGCAAAATTCATGCCAGCATTAAAATGAAGAGTTTGCTTTTTAAAACTCTTTTTATCTTAATGTTATTGTTATCATTCTGAAATTAATGCATAAGCTTGGTGACTAAACCTGGTAACTTTCATAGCCAGGTTTGAGCTTTGGAACATTTAAGGAACACCATTAAGATAAGTAGATTTGTGACCTGAACTGCTCTCTGCGCCATAGTGAGGACATTTCAAAGCTGCTGGGAAGCAGTCCACTTGATGTGACAGCCAAATGTCACCCACAGTTCCAGGGGTGTCGGTGCTGCCTTCAGGAGGCGCCACAAACACGCACCAAAGGGGGCAGGCAGAATTCCTACCAATACGGGGTCTCTGAATCAAAATCCTTGATCAGAAACAAAGGAGCTCCTTTCTCTTTTTTTTTTTTTTTTTTTTTTTTAATTTCCCCCACTTGGCCTGCATGTTTTATTTTTCCTTCTAGTTGGCATAACTTAAATACTGCATAC